AATGCAGAAATGCTGTTGGCTAAGACAAAAAGAACCACCAGAYAKAAGATAATATAGCTGCTTAGTTYAATTCAAGRCGGCCTCTACAAATCACCATGAGTCAAAATAATCCAATCATTGTCGAGATATAAAGAAATAATAAAAGATGTAGGAACAATCCACCATGCTGACCATGTTAGTATAATTGTATTCTAATCTTTTAGTTAAAGTGTATTAGTTTAACTAAAGTTATGTCGGAATAATCCACCAACAGCTTCTGCAGAAGCAAGTCGTTATCAAGAAAACAACATATTTCGGCAACAAGAAAAGCACCAGTAACTAAATAAAATTGGCAAAAAGCCATTGTTTATCAAAATCTGGTGCAAAAGTAGTTGGAGAGAATATGTCAAATAAGTCGATCTTTTTAGCGCATTCTAATTCAAGTAATCCTAGAAAATAGTTGGAGAGAATATAAGACAAAAGAGTTATACATACCTCATTTTTAGCCCCCACTTCATCTTAATATCCTGTTTTTAGCAAAATGTCATGCACTGCAGTAAGATCCATCTATGCCAAAAGGAGAAAGTAAGGTTAGAACTTGGAACAACACATGCCCTTGATTATCTACTTACTTTTCATTTTGTGTTTTTAACCACTGTGCTGCACCTTATACATATAACACAAAAAAACAATTTAAACAAAAGATGGAAAGTGATTATATGTAGAAAAAGTTAACAGTTGAGATTCTTGTGAGCTATGTACTGTTGTAGATGCATCTTGGCCAAGCTGCAAACCCATGACTGGTTGATTGGCAAGTAATTATATCCGTTAAGATGATGTGGTTTTAATCGTAAAGAAGATCAAGGAGAATCAGACAAGTCATGCATTTTTACAAACACCTGGCATACAAGCTGTGATGATAGGCTTATATGCATAGGCAAAAAACAAAGAGAACAAAGTAGGCAAAACAACAAAATCGAAATCCCAGTTCATATGTTAAGCAAACGGTAAAATTCACAGAACCAAAACAAATAAATTTTAATAACAACCAAACAACATATAAATCTATTTCCAAGAATACGAACCACACACAGTACCTCAAATTTTCAAAGCGATGTAAAAGAGGATTCTTACCTATAACTTGTAAATAGCCTGGGGCTTCCTTCATCGATCGTTAAACCAGAAAGAACAAGATTCAGATTAAGAAAAAGAAGATGCTGATGAGGAATGATCAAGATTCAGATAAAGAATCAAAAAAGAAGATTTTGACGACCATAAAGACGATGATGATCAACCACATGCATATATATATATATATACCACATTCTTCTTCTGGTGAGAAATCAGAGAAATCAGGATCAAGCAAAGACTATTCGTTCACGGTCGTCGATTGATAACAACGAACCAAGAAACCGAATCCGTTTCGATCGTCTCTGGACGGTGGTGCGGTTCTTCTGCTGTTCTTCAAATCCAGAAAGAGGGATACCAGATCTTCAAATCGGAAACCGCCTCCTGCTGTTCTTCGAACTCTCTCTCGACTCGGTGTTGAAATATGGAAGAAAAGAGAGGGTTATATGTTTGAAGCTTTGAATTTGAAATGGGAAAGTAAAAGTTGAAGAAAGTGAAGACTGTGATGGAGTAAAGTAAATGTATCAATAATTTGTACCATATGCTTTGTGACTTGTTTTTAAGAGTTTTTTGAAAATCTTGCATAAATGGTTGTAACTTATGCTTAAGGACTTGTATTTAAGATAATGACCTAAATGCTTATATATGTAGTATATATATATATATATATATATATATATATATTGAGTAGGAAATTTAAATATGCAAACAAAAATATTAAAAGTTATCTTTTTATTAGACGTTTGTTTTTATAAAAAAAACTTTTTTATCATATAAAATTGTTAATGCAACGTTTTGTATTATAAGTATTCTAAAAACTTGGTTAAGACGTTTAAAAACGTCATATAAACTTATTGCAATGCATTTAGATAGTAAACTTTATTTTAGGTCCTATAAATAAAGTTTTGTAAAGAGGTCTATTAGGACGCATAATTTTTTAGCGTCACATAAACCTAATTTCGTTGTAGTGATAATTTTTCTTAATTGTTTGAATAATTAGTTTTTTCTAATCTTAATTTATAATTGATGTTACGTTGTTGTTGTAATTTTTTGTTGTATGACTATATATTAATAATCTCAATTAACCACACTTAATTTTCAATATTTTGCTCGTAATTTTCAATTCTCAACTCAAAAGATATGCGAATTTATTATGATTTTTTTTGCTTTTCTAAACTTGAGATTTTTTAAGTTTAATCGTTTTTGTGAATTTTATATTTCTGAAATAAATATAAATATTTTTATTTAATAGGTACTTTATTTAAGATATTTGAATTGTGAATGGATATATCAAATATTGTTTAATAGATTTAAAAAAAATGTATATCGGAGCAGATTGCATTTTTGGTTTCTTAAGTTTGTTTAAAGACCAATGAGTATTTCATAATAGTTGCTAACTAACATTGTTAAGTGAGGGACCACGGATGTTATGAAAATGAAAAGTTAGGGACTATAACTATAGATAGTTAGTTTTAGGGATTAAATCCAAAATTTTCGCAAACCATAGGGACCACCAGTGTAATTCAGTCATATAAGAAATGTTATTCAAGACTTTTATTTAAGTTCTTAATTTGATGAGTAGAAAAACTATGACAAGAAAACGTATAAAAGATTTATATTATTTAATTTATTTACCATCTTCTTTGTATTATTTATATCATTACTGATTTGTTTTACTTATATTACAGAACATTGTTATTAACTAATTAATTTTTTAAGATGTTCTTTTTGGTCATTTATATTTTTCAACTATTTTATCAGCTTAATTTTTATCACATAAAATTAGTTTATGGAACATCTTATCTCCAACAAATCCTATAAAATAGAAAAAATGAACGTTTAGTTCTCTATATTGCTCTAAAAGATTATCTATAATCTTCTCTAATCTAGAGAAAATATGAAAAGACACCCGTTTAAAAAAAATCTCGAAAACTTGATTTTGAAAAAGAAACAATTATTTTATCCAATCTTACAAATGAAATCGAATCATTATTATTTTATATAAAGTTTCTTTTCTAAAAACGTATTGAAATGATAAATTAGAGAATATTATAATAATATAATTTATGTACAAAAATTTGTTGGAACTGAGGGGGTGTTTGGAATTAGGGGCCGTTTATTAGACACTTACTTGGTAAGTGTTTAACGCATAAATTTTCTCATCGGATGAACATGAGAAGGGTAAAAAATCTTACCGGGTAAGAGTAATGAAATGATGGAGAGTCTTACCTGGTAAGTGAGAATAACGACTCTTACCCAGTAAATTGTTGCATTCAATATGTTTTGATGTACTAAAATCTTACACATCAAAATAAAATATAGTGTTAACTCCTATTGGTAAGCGCTTACCCGGTAAACATTTGGGTAAACGACCCCTTACTTATTTAAAGAGATATTTCCTCTCCACTTACTCGTAACAGGCTTTTCCCGCAATGTTCTACGTGAATCCATGTTGGAAGAACATCGTACCAAAGTCGTACAATTAGGACTTCGTTTATTAACTTATCTCGATTGGTATCAGTAATAAAGAGTTTTTAGTGTTTGAATGGGGGAAAAAAGAAATACTTATACCGGTTTGGCATCGATAATAAAGATTTTTTAATAAGTTAACCACTTCTAACTTATTAACTTATTCTGGTGTGCCACTGGTAATAATAAATTTTAGTATTTGGATAGAAAAAAAACTTATCAGCTTATTATTACGTAATCCAAACACTTATTTATAAAATCCGATTTGACATCACATAAGAACTTTTACAAAAGAAAAAACATAATTTTATAAATAAGTAATCTTAAACACCACTAAATATAATTTTTTTTAAAATTTTAACGGTAGAGAATTATAGTGGATTAAAAGGTGTTAGATGAAATTGTGAATAATCATTTACTATTAATAGTTGTAATAAATAAAAAAATTGTTGAAAATTATCTATACCATATAATAAAACATTTGATAAAAACTCTTAAAAAATGTATACTGATGCATATTACTTAAAATTCAATATTACAAGTAAATTGTGCATAAGTACAACTTATTAAAGATTTAATTTTCAATTCATGTAACTAACTGCAGATAAACATAATCAAATACAAGATAAACATCTCATTTTAAATATAAAACTTAAAATATAATTAGGATAATTATTGACTTTTAACAGAATACATAATATTATTAAACAAAAATATATTGTTTTATTATTAAATCTAAAATAAATTATAATAAAAATTAGAATTAAAGAAATTACATAGAAATTGATAACTTTTAAATAGTTTATTTAATACTAATACCGATACATTTTTTTTCAAATTTATATTTCGTTCAAAATAAAAATATTATCGTTTTCTAAAACCACGTAAAACCGTATTTTTTCGACAGAGAAAATGAATAAAATAAAATATTAAAATCGAGATGTATCTCGCTACATCGCACGAGTACCCGTTTAGTTACTTTCTAAAAAGTTTGTTAAAAATCACAAATTTTTACTTAAAGAGGTTCGTGAACCTTATTATTTTATCAATTCTTTTCTAAAATTATCATTTATATAAAAAATATATTTAAAAGTTATCATTTTATAGAAAGTGTCCTGAAAATCATATAAAATATGTTTAAAAGTTAATTAGAGTAATAATGTAATGAATATTTTAATGATATAATTAATATTAGATTTTAAAGAAATCTTTTGATTTTTTTTAAAGAAATTTTAAGAAAAAGGGTTGGAGACGTGGTTAAGTTTTTCTATCACCCATTAAATACGTCAACACACCACTATCCACAAAATTCCAGTCGAAAGTTCCTGGAAACTTCCAAAGTTTGCCCCCAATAACTCTTTCTCCTTCCATTCATTTCATTTTTCATCTTTTCTTCCCACACCCAAAATGCTCCCTTTTCAACCATGCCAAATTTCACTAGAAAGATGCTGATAACACCACTTCAAAAGTCACATTTTCTTCTGCTTGATTGTGATGCTCTTCCTCCGCCACCGCCACCGCCACCGCCGCCCCTCCGCCACAGCTCCCTCTCACCACTCATAGTCATCATGCTCTGTACTGCTGCTACTACCTTCTCTTTTCTCTGCTACATCCTCATCATCAAAGCATGCCGTACTTTCCAAAAAAGATTTCGAACCCGAACCCATGGACGAAACATTAATACAAACGAAACCCATCAAGATTTTGTCGATCGAGAGCATGGTTCCATTGTGTTCCACCCCATCTGGTTAATCAATACCATCGGTCTTGACCAATCGGTAATCGATTCACTTGGGGTTTCCGTATACAAAAAGGGACATGGGTTCATCAATTCCGATTGTGCAGTTTGTTTGGGGGAGTTCCAAGATGAAGAAAATCTTCGAATTTTGCCCCAATGTAACCATGCCTTTCATGTCTTTTGTATCGACACTTGGCTACGCTCTCATAAGAACTGTCCAGTATGTCGAGCTTCAGTAACCAACAACACCAAAATCGAATTGAATCCCATTGAATCAAACTCACAAGAAGAAATCCCAATTGGGGATTTGAGAAATGAGACCCAAGAGATCGATAAATGTTTGTTTGGGGGGATCAGGGTGCAGAGTGATTTGATAGATCATCGTCGTCGTCAAGAACCAGAACCAGAACCAGAAACAATGAGGAGATCAGTGTCAATGAATATGATTCAGTTATCAGCTGGTAATGGTGATCAAGAACCAAAGAAGGCAAATATGTTGCAGAAAACCACAGAGAATCGATCTTTTCAAATTAGAGGAGATATCAAGTCTGAATCTTTATGATTGTTTTCATAGCATAAAGTTTTAGTGTAATGGTGTTGTAACCCATATCAAAGATGGGTATATATTGGTTGACTTAGTTACTATATGATTATGGGATATATTTGAATTATTACCCATTTTGAATCTTTAATCCAAAGTGATGTAATATTTCATTATAGTTTCCTTGCAAACTTCATGTTCAACATTCAACAACACCATAATAGCTCATTTTAATTTTTTTTAAGTTAGGTTGTATGTATATCAACTAATTTTAAAGTCACACAAAATAATTAGTGATGTTCAAGAGTCGGGAGATTTGAACCGTAAACCTATTTGACTGTAGAGCTAGTCGTCAAGATTCTTACTTCAAGATTGGGTGTTGATCTAAACTGCACAAACTCTTTTACCGCAAAGTATGGTTTAGAGCTTTCACAATGTAGTTTTTGGTTTTGAGTTATCATACTGCACCCGACAACATATTTTGTATTTTTAAATCTTATATATAACATATGTATATAATTTTAGTATTTATGTAATATTTTTGGACTATATGTTTTGAACCTTGAGTTTGATCCAATTGGCAATATCAATAAATTAACTTAATAGTTCTGTACTATCTTTAATTATACACCATGTATTTGGGAATCAGATGTATTGAAATTGTTTATTTGTTTGGACTATGGTCAGTTTATCGTTGATTTTATAATATATTTGTAAACTTATAATTATTAGATTGTTGTGACATTCGTTATTTTCGGAGCGTCAGGTTAGTATCTTTAGAGAGTTCTTATATTTAGAATTATATTTTCTAGGGTCTAGTCATGTTGAATAGAAATCAATTGACTTAGTTCCCGAATTGTAGTTTAGAAAACTCTGTTACAACGGGTAATATATAAAGTAACTTACGTAATGCCAAATATATTAAGAGTTCTCTTAAAATGAATAAAGTTGATTTAATAAAAATATAATGTTAAAAACGCAAAAGATTCATTTGAATATACAAATAAGTTTTACAAAATTTGGAATCTTGATTTAATAATGAATAATCCTATTGGTGTTTGATAAAAATGTATTAAATTAATATCTAGTTGGACTATATTTGTATAAGAAAAGTAACAATAAAAATAAGGTGGTTGGGCCTTGAATGAGCCGGCCCCTTTACTCTCATATAAAAACCCCACTTCTTTTGAAATCTTTCATTTTCACTTTCACATTTCCCCTTTTCTTTCTCTCTAAACCTTTCAACTTCCTCACAACCGAATCCAAATTCCAAAATCCTCTTAGATTCTCTAAATCTTAAAGAACATTCAAATCTTTAAAAGATAGCAAGAAGAAGGTAATAAGATTAGTTCATTATCTTAGTATTTTACCATTAATGTTCTTCATTTCTTTTATATTTCTTTCTTTGCTGTGAGATCAAAATTTTCTGGAGAGTCTAAGATGGGAGATTATTTATCAAGACATGAAAATGTTCCCAAAAATGATGATAATCTATGATTTACAAACTTAGAACTCAAGAAAATGGGGAAAATCGCATTGCATGTAGTATCTAATCAATAAAAATGGTATTTTGGAAACTAACAGGTTGTTTCTAACTAACATGTCGACTGTTTTCTTCAAATTTCAACCTAAGATATTTAATTTATGTTGTAGTTTTAAAAGATTAAAAGTAAAATGATTTTTGGAAGGTTCCCTTGACAAATGATTGGTGAAACCAAGAGTCCAAGGACAAAATCTGTAAATCTGTCCAAATAACGACTTTTTGTGCAAAAAACCCTTTTATTTAATTAAATATTGGATTATTTTTGGTAACAATTTTAACCCATAAAGGTTTATTGGCATTACGTAAGATATAACCTTAAGTTATCTATATCGTGACCCGAATGGTGATCTAACTATTGAAATTTCGAGTGTTTAGGACTTTAGTGCGGACTTTGGTGCTCTAAGCTTCACCAAAGTCTTGGATATTCTCCTTCAAACTTGTGAGTTCATCACGACCCCACTTTTACTGCTTTTTAGTTATTTATAACTGGGGGAAAAGCATAAAAAAATGCAAACTTTACTGTTTAAATGTAAAACTGATTGACTAAAGAACTGTTTAGTCAGAGTTGTGAAAATCATGAAAAACTGATTGTTAATGCACTACTTATAAATGATAAATGGATGCGTTTGAGAGGATATTACAAAAAGTCCCCGTCCGTACACGCTACTAGTTAACTCGGGCATGTCCCTGGGCCGTGGTAATTGTGGATAGCCGCTATTGTGTTGACAGTCCCACCCAGAAAAGGTTGCATATTATCTAAGTTTTTCATAAGTCTACTCATGTGTGCGAAAGGGCCACCGCTGAAGTAGTACTGATACGAACCGTGGTACCTAAGTGAGTGAACGGGCCACTTATGGTAGTTCGTAAACTAATGGGGCACATTGGTCAGGTAAGGCTCTGTAGCGTCTCAAGTTTTTAAGCATCGATGGAAAAATTTACATTTATAATGTGCATGTTATGTATAAGTTTGCAAGTTGTGATTTATGCATTGTAAATAATTTTGTGCATATGAAAACCCATGAACTCACCAACTCTTTGTAGTTGACGTCGTTTTTGTGTTTCATGCTTTTTAGGAAAATAAGTAAAGATAGGAGTTTGGAAGATCTTTTGTGATAACACCTGTTCACAATGTTTTTGAAATTTCTCTTTGTAAATGATGTTATTTTCATCGTGAACAGTTGAATTATGAACTTGTAAAATTTTCCATGGTTCATGTAAGTTAATGGTGTTATCTATTGATTGGAGCTATGAATTACTTACCTGTTGCGCCTTGTGTTTCCGCTTTAGCGGGGTGTGACAGATTTGGTATCAGAGCCTCGGTTATAGAGAACACCGGTTTTTTTTCTTAAGACCAAACTATAACCAAATCCTTTCAAAACAAAGTTACTAAGTATAACCAGAGGATGAAGGTCGTGTCATAATACTTAATTAAACAGAGCTTGATCACCTATGTTTAACTTAAGTATTATGATAAAAGATTCTCATCGGCTGTGCTGAAAGTATGCTCAAATATAGAGAATTTATCTAAAAACATGAAAAGCATGATTGTGTGTGTGTTTGCATGAATTATGAATATCCATCGCCCTAAACTAACCAGAACCTCTGGTTGTGTAGTGAAGCAAGTTATATAGAGCACTAAGTCGACCTGAGGGTCAACTCGGTATCTAGATGCTTGGTAGTTAGATATAGATAAAGGGGTTAATCTTTATAGCCTTTGCATTCAAAAGTTCGCACTATGCATTAGGTAAGATGTAACACCCTCGTCCCGCGTGGTCAAAGACGGGAGATGCCACAATTGGAATAAAACAAACAACGCGCTATATAAAACAGAGCGGCTAATAAAATTTACCAAAAGATAATTACATAACCATAGACGGAGATAACGTGTCTCAAAATACGGTATCAAAATACTAGTATGTCTACATTAGTCATCAAAAGTTTAACAAAAGTATGACGACTTAATGGGTTATCTTCAATATTGTCATCTCCATAGCTCTCATCCCAAAATCTCTGCTAAGTCATGCACCTGCCGAGGACAAGAAAATCTCGGCTGAGCTTAATGCTCAGTGAACGGATAATAATATAACTAAACAATGAATATGAAATAACAAGTTCAAAAACAATTTATAACGTCAAGTGATAATCCAAAAGAAATCAAAATGCCCCAAAAGCATGTCAAGGGTCCGAAGACCAAACAGCATCACGAGGACGTATTGTTCCCAAAGGATGATCAGTCCATTCAGGCACAAGTGAGGAAAGGAGTGTGAGCACAACACAACAATCCTCTCCGTGGATTTAACCACGACTATAATTCAATATCCGATAACGGTTCCTAGGATCGATCCATACGCCCTCTATTCGACCGGTACATAATCAAGTCCACTTTTAAGGACTACAAAAATAAGGACGCCATGATYGTTTTAGTCACCATGGAAACATCTCAATACCGGTGCTCCAGTTATTGAGTCTATAGTAAAATGTTTCACAAATAAAGCAATAAAACAAGTCAAGTGATCAAAATGATCCATATTCCAAATAAGAATATAAGTCGTAATTCAAAAGGAAACAAAGTTCAATAACATTTGATAAGCATAAAGGAAATTCAAAACAAATTATTCGGAATTTATCACAGATTATCCGGATTAGGAAGCCTTATGCAAATGACTATCCCCGTGTCAAGTGAGATATGAAATCCGTACCTTAACCGAATTTGACAATTAACGCATGATCAAACGGAAATTCACGATCAAGTTTGATTTTCCCGCGTGCCTAACGAATGTATAAACGAGTTACTATTTATAAAGCATAGAAACCATAATATAACTATTCTAATAAAATTACTTAGGTCTTAATGTACTTAAGTAACGTAGACTTCAAGAAAGACAGCTGGATACGAATTGAAAACTCAAACGTAAAACTTAACATATTCTCTTTCGATCCAACCGTTTCCGACCCTCTTATTTATAAGCATTTTATCTTACTTAGAGACCAATCCAGATTATATTGTCTAAATGAAAGTTGTAGGTTGGTAACATACGAGTCTACTGCTTTTGAAATCATCTCATTTGGATCATCCATCTATTTTAAATGAATTTTACAAAACTGCAATTTAATCCCGAATACAGTGTAAACAGCCCTAACAACACACTGTTTTGAGCCACCTAGAGTCATAACTGGATTTTCGACCCTTCATGAAAGTTGTAATATGCAGTAAGATTTTTCTGTCTGCAAAATACGAGCTTAATCCGACTTACGGTTTGTGAGTTATACACTGTCAAAGTACGGGAGTTACATTGTCGGTAAAATTCGATTCCGTAATTCTCGACTAACTTTTATGATCCAACTTTCATGATTCGCTACATTTACATGCTATAAACATACTTCAACATACTAAAAAGTAAAACAAGTCCAACAGTTGCTAATCTAAGCTTAATCATGCATTTTTACTCTTTTCGAAATTTAACCGAACAATTGGTGTACGGTTAAACATATACCCACAATCTAATCATATTGAAACTATAATATACCCTTTTCATTTCTACATCAATTTAACCAGTTCTAGCATTCTAAGCATCAAATATATCATGATTTTGACAAAATA